TAAGTACCGAATTTTGAACGAATCGAATTAATTTTAAATTTTTCCCCCATATTAGGTCCGCCATTTAGAATTTCTTAAATCTGACCTCAAATTTGGATTTAGCGACCCCAAAAACCCTATAGGAACCATTTTTATGCAAATCTAATCAATTTTAAAATTTTTTAGACACCATATTGGGTCCGCCATTTTGAATTTTTTAAATATGATCTCAAATTCGGATTCAGCGACCCCGAAAACCTTACTATATCCATTGACACTCAAATCGAATTATGTTTAGTATTTTTTTCTAATGTGGACATATATGTCCAAAATCACAAAGCTGGCACGACTTTTTTTTGGACATATATGGGTCATTGACTGTCAAGGGGTTAAATATCTTTGAAATACTTTGAAATGTATTTCAAAAACATTTAATTCATTTAATACGGACTTTTACGTAATCTGCGCAAACGCAGTCGTAGTAATACTCAGCGTACTTAAGTTCGGAATAAATATTTCTTTGATTCAAAAAAATTTTTCTTTAGATTAAAAATATCATTCAAAGAAAAAATTTCTTTAATTCAAAAAAAAATTTTTTTCTAAAAGCAAAGAAAACTTTTTTTAATTTAAACAAATTTCATTTTTAATTCAAAAAGTGACTTTAAAAAACCGATTTCTTTGTTTCAAAGAAATCTTTTTTTTTTATTATAATTTTTGATATTAATAAATGTATAAATAAAAAAAAAATTTCTCGCGATTTAAGTTTTAGTAGTAATAAGATAAATTGTTGAAAAAAAAACACCGAGTGAAAACAATTTGATCCCGTATGAGAAACCACTTTTTCACAAGGACATCGCAACGTCGAGAGGAACGAATGCGCGAATTGAAAATAACACAGAGAAGAGAATAGTGTATATATATATGTGCAGGGGGAACGGCATAGGGCAATTAGGGACAGCCGTCTAACCACAAAATTTCGTGATCTTATTAAATCCAGGGAGGTTAGATACCATATAGTCAGAATATAAGGGAGTGGGGGATTGAGAGCGGTCGCTGAAAAAGGGAAAGGTAAAATTGCCAGGTTGGTTAAAGGAACGTATGTGCAGAAGCGTGGCATTATCGTGAGAGATTTAGTTTTACAATGTACCTACTTCATTGAGACAGCACGTTCAGGAAAACAGGTATGGATTATCCTTTATACTAGTACTACCACTATTCCAACAGGGTAGCGATTATACCGAAGCCATAATCAACCAGCTCATGTATATATATATATACACGACCTTCTTCATAAAAGCAAAATTGTGCAAAACTAGTCATATATGGGTGATTCTCCAGAAACCGGTCACTTTTGAGGAGTTAAAATTTTTTTTAAAACGTGATTAGAAATTCGATTTGTTTTATTAATTTCATTTTATTGGGATCAAAATTATTTTTAAGGCATTGGGGATTTATTTATCGAAACAGTACTTTTAGTAGCGCCGCAGAAATGACTTCCCTCACAGCACCAGATATCCTAGGATATTCGAAAAACATCCCTTGGATATCCTAGGGATACCCCAGGGATATCCTAAGGATACTTTAAGGATATCCAAAGTAGCGGCGGTTAGGATATCCTAGGGATATCTAAGGATGTCCCAGAGATATCCTAATCATTTCCCCGAATATTATTAGGATATCCTCAGGACGTCCTAAGGATATCCCAAGGATATCCCAGGGATATCCTAGTGATATCGTGGGGATATCCCTAAAATACCCTCAGTATATCCCCAGGATATCCCAAAAATATCCTACGTAACGACGGTTTGGATGTTCTGAGGATATCCTCAGGATATCCTTCATTAGTTTAGGATATCCTGAGGATATCCTTTTGTTGTGAGGGTTGTGTCAAAAATAAACGAGAGAATTAACCTCAATCATAATCCAAAGGCGTATCAATGAGGAGCACTGAAACTTATATATTTTCCTATACATTATTAATTATGTTGAAACTGGATAGGTTATTTGGAAGTAAAACACGTATAAGATAAAAGATAAGAAATTGTAACAGATAAATTAAGACTTTATTGAATAATTTTAATGTTAATTTGACAAACATAGAATTGATTTTAATGTAGATTCTTTACTAAATTCTTTAAGTGAGCCGTACAAAGTTTAAGGGTGCTCGCACAAGAAAAGACGGAGAAGTGTGCAGGATGTTTTTCAAATGAGATAGAAAAGGAAAGAGCGATATTTCTTTTCTAATTCATTTGAATCATATCCTGTACACTGTTCCATCTTTTCTTGTGCGAGCAGCCTAATGCTATACGCAGTACTATATAATAGCACGACTGACAAAATCCTTCAACCCGGAATTGCACTCAGGTACTTCAAGTACCTGGTTTTTCCTTTTCACCTAATTTTTACTTAAAACCTTAAATATTTATAAATATCGTTGTATCTCCAACAAATTATAAGTTAACTGATTTATTTTTTTTAAAATTGTATCTAATTAAATGTATAAAGCGTAGAAAACTTTAAAGTTTATTAATTGTTTTAAGTAAATTTTCAGGCACGGGTACATTTTTTTCTTGCTTCGCACGACAATGGACTTTACGATAATGAAATTTTTTGCAAAATCAAATTGTATACTTTTTAAACAAAAGCAAATAAAAAATGGCTTGGCACAAAGTTTTGTCTTTCCAAACTTTAAGTTTTCATCGGTTTTTTATTAATTGTATATATTGAAATATAAAAGTTATGACATCGCAGGACAATGGAATTAATAAAAATATGGAGTGGTTTTTTTTTAGTGATTTTACTTGAAAATAAGAGAAATATAGTTTATTTCCTAATTTCTCTTAGAAATTTGAGAAGTGACATATTTTTTTCGATGTTCATATCATTTTTAGGCAAAAAGTGCAAGTCTTGTAGTATAATTATACACGTTTATACATTGTCGTGCTGGCATGAAGATTTTCAAAGACACTTGTATTTCAATAATTATCAGTAAATATATTGATGTAATGAAAAGATGTATTTATAAAAATTGAACCTTTTGAAATAAACTTTAAGAATATTAATTGAATAATTAAAGATATTACTGTTTTTATGAGTTATAGCATTTTAAAGTTTGGTAGTTAGAGGTTAGGACATTTAAAAATATATTGTATGAAAATTCTAACTAATGAATTTTAGGAGATATTCATGTTCCCCCGTAGTGAAAATTATAATATACAATTATACAATTATAATATAAATAAATTACGGAATAGAGAAAATAATTTTGTGAAAAATATTTCAATAGAAGATCAACTTATCGATTCATTTTTAGCGTTTATAATTTTTATAGTTTAATCTTTAAATTTCTTGAGTGCCTTTAAACACGCTGTGAAGATCTCTAATCAACCTAATTGCACATTTGTGCGCGCACGCACATATCATTGAAATTCCCCTGTGATTTTCAAAACAATTTGGAAGTCAAGTTTAATTGACAAAAAAACGGAACGGATCTTTTAATAATGGACTGCTCAATATATTTAACAAAAAAAAAAAAAAAAAAATACCCACTAATTTAATAATCTGTTTTTATATTTTAATCGCGTGTATATATGTAAATTTTTATTAAAAATTCATTGCAGTTAATTGAATCTCCCAAACATGGACTTAACAACAATTTTTAATTATTTAAAAAGATAATGTTTAGGAAATACAGAAAATTTTATACAAAAACCTTTTTTTTATTTACGTTATTATACTGTAACAATAATAATTATTATTATATTTTTGATTAATTTAAGGGGAGATTACGGTGATTTTGAGGTTTTTTTCAAAGATTTTTTTTTATAAAAAAAAAAAATATTTATTAGTTACATTTTTCTTATGAGAAAATACACATTTTAAAGAGTCGAAAACAATATTTGTTTTTCTTTTTTTTGTTTAAACAATCGAATAAATAATGTCTGCCGAAAGTGGTACATTTTAAAAGTTTGTCACACTTTTTCTCTGGAACAGTTATTCTAAAATGAAAAAACCAAAATTTTTCTTAATCTGTACTATTTTGGCTATCGTGTAAACTAGAATGAGAAATATTTATTGAAAAAAAAAACGATTGGCAGACTTTTTTCATTTTTCGACAACAATTTTGCAATTTAAATTTTGTTTATAAATTTTAAAAATATTATTGGATAGTTAGTATTTAATAGTTTTAAAATGAGAGTGTGACAAAGTTAAAAGTATGCAGTTTTGAGAAAAACGCGTTTAAAGTTTTTTAAGTAGAAATTAAGCAAAAAAAGTGATTCTTACTCAATCGGCGATACCGGCTACATACATAGATCCTTCTTTGGCTTCTAAAAGATCATTTTCAAGTAATCTATTGCTAGTCAAGTAGCAGTGAGAGTCTCTATAAGCCGTTTATTGCTATCCGACCGGATTAAACGCGTGCGTTCGCGCGCTCAGTGAGTTGTTGCATGTTGCTATTCAATTTATATCAGTTCTAGACTATGGACATACTTTAGACTATTTTTTCCGTGTTCTTAAATAGACTTACTAACCAAAAATAAAAAAAAAAATAATTTCGAGTTTTTGAAAAAAAATCATCGTAATCTCCCCTTAAATATGAAGGGAAAAATACAATATTATTAAGCGAAAAAGGTTCACACTTTATAACACGAGATTCTTTTCCCTTTTATATATATATATATTTTTTTTTTTATATACATTGTTTCATCTTATTTGCAATTCGTTTCGCGTTCTTGGAGCGAAAAATCATTTTCGTACATACAATTAAAGAAGTTAAGTATAATTTTTTATAATCCTGTTTTATGCAACTCAGCATTAAGAGGGAAGTTTTTAACAAATCGAAAGAAGAGATAAAAATTTTTTGAGGGATTTAATAATGGCACATCCGGGGGGAGGGGGTGAAATGATTTTTGCGAGAACAGGATGTAATCCATTAATGCGCGTAAATGTTACGGCCTTGATGGTCCTTGGTCCTTTGTTCGACTTAATGATATATATCTTTTCTTTTTTTCTGTTTGCAGAGAGGAACTTGCCATGAAGATTGGTTTGACTGAGGCTCGAATACAGGTGAGTCGATAAAATATATATATATATATATATATATATTATAAAAAAAACTTTTTTCGAACACAAAATTTCCATTAATATTATTTCATTTATTCAACTTTTTTAAATTTTATTCTTTGGTAATTTTTCTTGTGTATATTTATAATTATTGTCAGTTCAGGTAGAGAGAAAAATAAAAATGTATATATGTTCTCATAAAAATATGATAAAAGGTCTCATCGCACAAATCGTTGAAGAATTTCTACATTCAATATAAGACATAAACGAAGAAAAGTGGACTTAATGATTCAGCTATTTTTGCATATATATACAAGTCTAATAAAACTATACGCATTTTACTCTATGATTACGAATTGATTCATTACACATACCAAAGTCTAATAACTGAGTTGAGTTCATATCACAGAGTAATCTCTAATAACACACATTACTAAATATGTCTTGCTCATTAATGATTATTTTTTTTTTTTTTTTTACTTTCAAATATACAAAATCACATTGTACATATATGCTGAATCATTAATGCAAATTCTCCCATGTGTTTACATTACCAATTGAAAACTCATTACAAACGATAATCCAAACAAAGTAAATCAATCTATATACTGTAACTGTGATTTAATAACTCGAAAAAAGGAAAAAAAAATTATTCAGTGTAGATTAACGCAAGTTATGAAATAATTATAGTATATATGAATGAATCTCTAGAAAAAAACTTGTAAAATTTATTGATGTGTTATTATATTAATAAATTTTATTATTCTGTGTTGTATAAGATGATTTTTTATAATTTACTAGTTTGGTAATTTTACAATTATTATTCTGTTAGCTTGAAATTGATGTAGTTGTTAAACTAAAAAATATCTATAACAAAACATTAATTATTATTTTTACTGAAATTCTTTTTAAAAAAATTATTTTTTAAATGGGTATTTTATTTAATTTTGAAAATCGCTATTTCCGATGAAGGCATAAAAAGTTGCATTAGTAAGTTGAGAGTGCTTTTAGAAATATAATTATATGTATATATTTAGTGATGATGCGTAGTATTAATACAGAAAATTAAAAGGCATTAAAATAAGCTGCAACGCTTCTTATTTTAATCCAATTTTGCTTATTTTAATACCAAAATGGATACTACACGCGTAGTATTAGTCACATTCGTAGTAATACATGCGTTGTATTCGACACATTTGTAGTAATACACGCGTAGTAATGTAAACTTTTGCGTAGGAATTCACGCATGTGTTTTTTTTATAATTCTCTGTTTTTTTAATACAAATTAACTTTTTCTATTCACCTACAGATTTTTTTAGTTCTATGAAAGATCAGGTAATCGTAAAAAAAAGAATTACTAATAGCCATTCACTATAAATTCTTTAAATATTTATTTGAAAACGCGTAGTAATACCTACAAGCACCCTAATTAATAGTAGAAAATTACTAATTCATTTATTAAAGTTTACTAATTGAAATAGTAGCCTACTGTAAATGAATTATTAATTTTCTATACTAACAATTATCCATTTTTGACTAAAAATTAGACAAAACTAATTAAAATTTAGAGAGTAAAATTTTTCTAAAAATTAAAGAGAATTTTTATATTACTAATTTAGAGAGTTCTATTTCTCTCATTGATATATTACGTTATGGGATAGTTGTAATTTCTGCCTCTAGAAAAGACATTCTTGACGCGCTACCGTGAAGAGAAATGGCTTAATGTAGCTCGTTGTAGTTTATCAGGCTTGTTTTTATTTATTTTCTGTTTTTTTTTTTTTTTTTTTTTTTTTTTTTTTTTTTTTGCATAAGCACTTGCAGAAAGTGTGCCTAGATACGTAAACGATATCGCAGCGTGTCGGTAGCTCTTGCAGCTATGAACGTTTGTTGCGTGAACAGCTGGCTAATTTGCTCAATTAGTTTAATTTATTCCCAGTATTTATTCACTCTTTCTCTCTTGCTTCGCGTGGAAGGTTTCATCTCCCTCTCTCAACTTTTTCGCGATCCCCACTATCTCTCTCGATTCCCTCACGACGATACCGCGAAGGTTTCATTATACTTGCAAACGGTCAGAGTCTTCGATCCTGTCATCGATCTTGAGGTGTTGAGACGTGAGAATGAGGAGAATGACCGAGAATGAATCGAGGAAGTTCATAGAAAAATCCTCAACCTGGCAGAGAACCATTCGCTATATCCTAACGGTCTTCACACGGTATACTTTGAGAATATAGTTGCTACCTTCAACTTATCTAACAATGACATAATGCATTAAAAAAAAAAAAATTTACACGGTTAATTTCTTTCAAGGAATATTTCATTGATTATTCCAACAATTCTTTTATTGTTATCAATTTTTTTTATGACAAAAAAAAACGAATTTTATTTTATATATTTTTTTTTTTATTTTTAAATTATTTATTAGCATAAAGTATATTTGAAAAATAATTTATTAATTAAATCTAATATAATTAAACACATATATAATAAATGATGACATATATAAAACAGATCGCAATTATATACCTTTTAAGAAAAGTATAATTAATTAAGAAAAAATTTTTTAATTATACTTTTTACGGAAAAAAAAATTTAATTGCATCTCTCGTGTATAAAATAGTTCATATATATATATATAAAATGAATTCTTCAAGTATCTGTTGACTAATGCCAGGACAGGAAATGCCGATGATATCAGGAAATCACAATTTCCTGCGCGCAAAGAAATAACGAATTCTCATCGTTTTATTCACTCGTGTAATTCATTTGCGATAAATGGATAAATAAATACCTATATATGTATATACAAATGCAAAAATATTGAGAAGTCTTTTTCAAAATCAAGGTTCGTTTTTATAACATATATAAAAATAACAACTTCTCTCTCTCTCTCTTTCTCAGAAATTAAAAGTTTGCACCTTATGATTTCATTATGACCGACTTTTTTACAAATAAGATTTATCTTTCTTTATATAATTACATAAAAGAGTCATTAGTTGCACTCTCCTGAAACCATTGTTTCGTTTCTACAACGCGTAAAGTAAATGAATTGAAATTTTATTTAAATAATTAAAAAAAAAAAAAAAAAACACTGTTAGATTTCTCATGTGTAATTACTAATCACATTATGTTACATTTGCAATCTGCACGCATCATTCACTTAACATGAAATTTTAGTTATATATATGTTTTTTATTATTAAAAAAGTGTGTTTTTATACTTTTCTATTTTCCAATGAAAATCTGATGAATTTTTAAAAATGATTTAATTTAAATTAAAAAATTTTCAATTCTAATTCTAGATTTGTAATCAATATTACCGTCGCTAAGGAAAAAAAGTCCTTAACAACGGTTGCTAAGGAGAAAAACGGCCATAGAAACGGTTGCTATGGTAACAGTTGTTATGGTAATGATTGCTATGGTAACTGTTACTATGGCGTACGACGGACGGACAGACGGACGCCAAAATGAAACTATAAGACTTTCGGGCCTGTGTCACGAATTTCTAAAAACCAAAATCTTTCATTGAGCCGCTTTTGAAAAAATCGATTTTTTAGGTTAAAAATTATTTAAATAAAATTTTATTTAAATCCAAAATTTTTATCTCCCTTGTTTAAAAAAAATGTGATAGAAATTAATCGCATTTCGTGATGTGTGTGAGGAAGTGTAAAATATGTCAGAATGAAGTGTTTCTATACTTTATTATATCGTTCCAACAAGATCTTTGATGAAAGGAAACGCGTGGTAAGAAGCATAAGTTTTGATATTTCCTTTCACAACTGCGCGATTGGTCTTACAGGGAATATTGTGTATATATATCCCTAGTAGAAATTTGTCCTAGCTATTTTAAAGGAACTGCCTAGTCGCGCTGGAGTCTGTCTAGTTACTTGACTGACCAGCTAGCTAAAAACTCGAATGTCATGTCACGCTTTTTTCATCAAGTTATTATCCAGCCCAACTTGATAATTATTTATCAATAGGACTTTTGAAAAACTAGTCAAATTAATTCTTTTAAATATTTCGAAATTCATTTAATAATAAGATTTAATGTAGTAAACACGTTTATTTTATGTAATTAAAAAAAATATTCCAATTATCAACAAAAATTATTATAAGAAAATATATTGCACTAAATATAGTAATTCGTTATAAAAATGTAATTTTTCATTCACAATTAAACTGGATTTAAAAAAAAAATTTACATAAGTAAAACGATTGAAGCAACATCTTGACCTGAACTGTTAACAACACTGAAACAATTATAATTTTTATATTAATATGAATGTCATAACATAAACCTTAAAACACTTCTCGCAGTTTCAACGAAAAAATCTTGGGGCTACCGGGGAGCGAACACGGGTCCGCTGGGCGGGAACGAAAGAAACGCACGCTTTACGCAACTCGGCCGTTCTGATCAGTGATATTAGAATAAATGCTTGACGTATTTCACTGTACCTAATAATATTATGAATTTGTGCATATTATTTTTATTATTTTCTAGGCAAATAAACATTTTAGATGTTTATTTGATTTTAAATGATTTACTTATAATTTAATTTAAACATTAGACAATTATAAAAAACTAATTACTAATTTTTTTTATTTATTATCCTCAAAAATTATATGTAAAATTTTATAAATAAAATTATTTTAATAAATTAATAATTATTGATATAATATAATATTATTATTATTATTATTATTATTATTATTATTATTATTATTATTATATTATTATAATATACTCAAACAGAAAAATAATATTCTACTATATTTGTAAAATTTGTCTGAAAATAATAATAATTGTTTAATCATTTTTTTTTTAAAAACTAAAAACACTTTTTATTCAAGGTAATATTATTTTCATAATAATTTAATTTATTGCAATTATTTTATTATAATTTAATAAATTTTATTATTTTAAAAAAGCGCGCGCTATTTTGTCTTGGGCCAATCAAGTGATTTCAACTAAATATAGGTTATGTTCGTTTCTGATTCATGACAGCT